AATAAAACGTGATTTTCGTCATTCACATTTGAGCTATAGAATTGACATCGCTGGAATTTACGTTAATGGATTTGGTTCATGTCAAAATTTCAGATAATACCAGAGAGGTTTCAAGAACATATCGGCTGATTCATTATGATAGTTCGTGGAATATTGATGATATTTATTCCCAGTTATTCAAACAATTGTTTGTTATTCATTAAGTTGTTTAAACTACGTATCTCATCCTTTTTGGTCGCTTTGGTTGTAACTGCAATATTTCGGTTGGTTCATTCTACTGCCTTTTTTCTGTGTGGAAAGATGCGGTATTTTTGTAGTGGTGTTTTTGTTTGTTATTGTTGTTTTTTGTTTTGTTCTTTTTTTTTTGTTTTTTTTTTTAGGGATTTTATTCTAGAACTTGGAAACTACTTGAAAAATGTATTCCTCGTTTCTTACTACACAGGCTGTACATCTAAAAGAAAGGAAAAGGTCGTGGAATGGATTGACCGAAATATAATGGCAACAATAAAAGCAACAGGAAGCATACGATCAATAGTGTAAACAACTGTTGATTAACGACTTAAAATTTATAGAATGCATTAAGTGTGTAAATTCCTGTTAACATACATTGTATTATTTTGTTTTGATATTTTTTAGATGAACACCTGTCAATATATATTGGCTTATTAAAATTAATTGGAACTATTGTCCTCATCATTGATTATTACAAATATTATTAACCCGACGTTTTGACCAAGTACACTCTAGTCATCTTAAAAAATAAGATAATAATCAACACATGTAATCTGTCCATACCAGCCACAATAATATGCATTTAAAGACATTCAAAGAGTATGTAACAGAATGTTAGTTCTGTAATACCATCTATAATAAAATGTGAAAAATATTTTGAATAATTCATTTTTTTTATAATAATGTTCACCCAGTACAAGGCCCGAGAGTTACTCGAGGTAGAGGGTTGCAGAATAAGAGATACGGAGAACTGTTTATGAGGATATGTGGGTAAGATAATGATTAACCCTAGATTTGAACAGGTTAAGATTCTAGTGATAGGGGAAGCATCCTCTTGGGAATTCGGTTCCACAAAGTAGCGGAACTTACATCTCAACAACGGAATAAGAAGAGAATGAGGGTGATTCGCTGCAATGTGCGTGGATTGGCGGGTCTTAGCCGTTAAGGTTAGAACTGGTGGCACTAAGAAATGTAGTTCGCTTCAACACTTTCCATTGAAGGGGTTGCAAAGTGGAATTATTTTTTTTGTGGGGGAGGACTCTGTCAAGACTGGAAAAGTGAAGACTGAGCAGCTCTTGCCTATATATGGAAGCAGTTTTAGGCCTGGTCTAACTCTTGTAAAGAAAGAGGATAGCAGCAGTACTTACTGGAGCGATACAGGAAACCGACCCTTCCCTAGCATCTTTAGCGATGAGTACAAGTTCCACTTGAGGTCTGGGTTGAGTATAAGTCCCACTATGTGCTCAAGACACCGAGAGAACACCCAGGCATCGTACTATGCAAAAATTCAGGGCCTGTTTGTATAAATTGAATGGTAAATTATATTCTATGGTTGTGTATGTCTGTTTCATTCTGAGTAAAGACAGAGATGCATACGTGCAAATAAACGTCTATTGAAAGTGTCTAGCAATTTTATAGCGTAGTGAGTTCGATTGTTCGATTGTCTCTGAATGTTTGAATATGCTCTTTTCGGGCCACATTGAAATAAACGCTGTTAATAAGTAGTTTATATTTTTTCCCTCATATCTTTAAATATAAATATATTATTGTCTGATTCTTACTGAAAAACTATTGCTACCAAGCAAGTTTCGCAAGCCATAGCTAAAAGCTTTTGAGTTTCACTTGAACCGCGACTGTATCCAGACGAGATAAAGTTTCGAAATTTATGAGACATGTAACTCTATGCGTGAATTCTGACCAAAACGGACTTAACTAAAATGTCTCTGTCTCTCGGTGTTCATTGATATTTTTAAATCATTTCAACCCAAGTAAAGCAATAAAGCCTCTAAGATGCAAGAGATGTCTTAATATTTAATATTTAAGGAGCTCTGAGCTAGATCAAATATGACGGAAAATGGAGAAAGAAATCATTCATAATGGCTGTTTTCAAAATGAAATAGCTTTGCTTACTTTAAAAAAAAAAAAATCAACATTTCAATTCCTGTCTTTAAGCTGGGCCCGAACACCGAACTCTATCAATGATCAGTCATTTATGTGCCATGCGTGATACACTCACTTTCATTACATGACTGACGAGGCAGGTTCTTTCCCGCGGTAGGTTGCCATTTCTTTCTGCGGTAGATCAGTTGCCATCCAAGGCTATAGAACCCGGACTGTCCTGCTATTTAACCATAGCTGGGGGGGGAGTTGATTCTCAATGATAGAAAAAGCAAACTTCTTACGGTCAAACCCTATTTGATGTTTTCCAAATTCACGAATAATAGGAATGGTAGGAAAATACAATTCAATCTGGATAGGATTTCTACAATTACCTGGTTTAGATGACATTTTAAAATTACGATGTGTGTCCAATTTAGTTCGCTGAAAAGAAGGAGGCATTTCTTGAGTTAAACGGCTTTAAATACCTATTTGGGAGCATGTGTGCTATTAATGTAAATCATATCGACGCGGAAAATGGAATTCTGGATGGGTCGATTGCGTTCATTTTCGCACTGATCGAGTTAAATAGCAGAAATAGACAAAAAATCTTTAATTTCAAACTGTGGAGAATGCAGCGGTAAACCTGTTTTGCAAATTTTCTCTTAAAATCTGTCCTGTGGGTTTTATTGTATTCGAAAACATACAAAACACCATTTACATCTATTATTCCAGTAAGAGCGTACTACCCGTCAAAAATGATGCGATCGACAGTGTAATGTATGTTCACTATGCCTTCGTACAAAGCATTGAATCCCTACACCTTTGTCTGTGATCAGTGTAGAATCTGGTGTTTTTTTTTTTTTTTGGGGGTATGAGAAAAGTGTGTGTCAGTGCGTGTATATATATATATATATATATATATATATATATATATATATATATATATATATATATATATATATAATGAAAAAAATAGACCACTTTAAGGTACCATTACAATAATTTATTTCACCAAAATTCTTTTTAAAGGATTTCGGATCATCAGGTAAACACTTGATCCGAAATCCTTTAAAAAGGATTTTGGTGAAATAAATTAGTGTAATGATACCTTAAAGTGGTCTATTTTTCATTAAATATTAGCTCCGTTCTTCACATTGAGCTCTCAGGTATATATGTGTGTGTGTGTGTGTGTGTGTGTGTGTGTGTTAAAATCAAGTTTTGTCTGTTTCTGTGCACATATCAAAACTACATTTTTTTTATTATTTACTAATTAATAAAATTTGCTAATTAATAAAATTTACTAATTAATAAAAATAAAACACTATAAAAGAAAGGCAAAAGTAAATCATAGATAGATAGATAATTCTTGGGCACCTCGATGTGGTGTAATGGTTAGCAAGCTTGTCTCGCTAGAACAATTACGACTGAGTAGTGAGTTCGATCCTCACTGGGTGCCCCATACTTTCGGCCTTGTGCCACATCTAAGCTACGCTTGGAAAATCACTAGATAGATAATTCTTTGCCTGTGAGAAAGAAAATTTTCAAGGGCTTTGTTGTTAATTGTTATTAATTTGTTTCAGTTAACAACAAACATCTTGAAAATGGCTAAAGAATTGGACGATAGATACTATGGACAATTTTAACGAAAAAAAAAATTCGAATACTAGAAAAATTCAATAAAAAACACTCATCAGATTTTCAACGAAACAAGTTTGAAAGAAAGGTTGCTGCCCAAATATAGAATATATATATATATATATATACACACTGAGTATCTTAAGATTGCGTTTGACATGAAACTCAGAGTCGTGCGAACGGTACGGGAAAATACGTATATTTATTAATACACACACACACACATAAATCTCCATAGACACTTAACCAGACTAGACGATGTCATCTTCCGCTTTAAATTTAGACACCCCAACCTTACCCTGACTTGACGTCTTTGAATGTTACTGAGATATTGATACAAATTATTAACCCTTACGCCCCTTTTCTTTAAATAATTGCTCTAGCCGTTACCATAGAAATTTTGATTTTAATAATGAATATCCTTATAAAACGCGTAAATTTCGCTTGAAGATAGAACAGAGCTTGGTACTTTAATTCAATTTAATTCAAATAATTATATTGAAGTTTTCGGCTCTTGTTTTGAAACATGAGAACTCTTATGTAGCGCTGGAATCATGTTTTTAAATAAATAATTATATATATATATATATATATATATATAGTTGGACTGATGTGTATTTGCGACCCTGGGTTTCACGCCCTTTGCAATCGTCAGACAAAACTCTGACGATCGCTTCTAATTCAGTGGTGTTTAAAAGTCGCATAGAATGATCACTTTATAATGAATATATCTTATAAAAATCCAGGTAATAACTATAAATTTAGGCACGGACTTATTGATCCCCTTCTCTGAACGATTCTTTTTTTTTTTTTTTTTTCATGTATATTGAAAAAAAACATTGGAAAAATATTTAAAATGAACAACAAAATATTCAACGCTTATGTTACGTTATAATTATCTTCGGTTTTTATTCAAGTATTTAAGCTGATGCGAATCAGTGTACACGTTTTGACTTCAATAAATGTGGCTTATACTTTTTGTATCAGAATATTTTTTACAAATATTTCATGCAAAAAAATAAAACAAATTATAGAAAGAAGACCAAAGGAAAAAAAAAACAAACAAACGTGTGAACGTTTACGGATCAAACTGAATCGGAAACAACAGTCATCCTACCTTTGAAGTCTTGTCAAAAAAAAAAATGTCATCACATTTTAAATATCCACCTTTCTTCTTCTTTGTTATTTTTTTTTTTGTTATTTTTTTTTGTTTCTTTTTTTGTTTCTTTTTTTCTTTTCTTTTTAGAATTTGTTCAAAAAATTAAATTCAATCTGGAAGATTTAAAAGAATTCGATCCAAACGAGCAAGCATTTGGTGCATCGCTGGGATCAAGTGAAACAATCGAGCATATAAAGTCGATTTTCGGTTGAGTGAGCGCGGTGATAACTGTCCATTGGTCTGTATTGTGTTGCGCTCTGTTTGACTTAACGATGCGTACGTGAGAAACAATTCCTGAGATTCTGAAACCCTTCCGCTTGTTGTGGGTAAAGACTGACGCCCCGGAGTGTCCGCTTCCCGCTCCACACACTCTGGTAATTAAATTGTGATTGAGAAATGTCCTTCCCGTTTCCCAGGGACACGTGTTGATGCCAAACTTGGGCCTCTGGCGAAAAGAGAAACCCATGTAATACATGTCAAATGAAAGCATATTTCTGTTGGGCGCTTGTAAAGGCATGAACTCTCGTCGTCCGCGAGCTGCTGTGACAAGCTCTAGAATAGCGTAATCGCTCACGTAGCGTTCGGTGTTCATGGAATTACCGACTAACAGCCAACCTTTCGGTACTGTCACTCTCTTTACGTAATGTACGCGCTTACTTGACGTTACTTCCTGTATAGCAACTTGTAAGTTCCTGTGGCTCGTACGACCATTGTGAACGCAATGGGCTGCAGTAAGAACGAATCGGGGGGATATAAGCGTTCCTGAACAGCCGGAAGATAGAACAACAACGTTACCGCTATAATCTTGAAGAATATAAAGCAGATTTCTCGCTATGCAAGAATATCTCTTGCGACGTTTAATCTTGCTGCTAATGCCTCTCAACTTATCCTCTCGATTGGTACTATGTCTCTTTTCGTCCCGTTTCTTAACAGTTCCAAATAACGACCAACCACGGCTGGTGATGTGTTTAACTTTGGTCCCTGTCTCTGGTTCTTTGGTAATTTTAGATACTTTCCCTCCAGCGGATAAAATATCAAATAAAGGCAACGTGGCTAACAGGAACTTTGACATGTTAGACGCGTTCAGTAATTCGTCTCTGCTAAGTAAAAATGATTCTTTTGATAGTCTGGCATCCATTTGCGGGGTTCCCATCTCGTTTGCTAGCGTTCTTAAACTGAACGGCAAAATATGAAGATAACACATGCCAACTAAAATACAATACAGAAAGTAATGTATTCGTTTTAATGAGTATTTTATATTAAACATATTGTTAAAGACGCGTTGGTGTTTACGGCAGAAAAAAATGATTAAAAAGTAATATAATGCCACGAAGTAAAACAGGTTTTCACAAATGTTCTTTTCGTAATTTTTCTTTATACTTTAGTTTCTGTTTGTAAGTGTAGACTTGAATTTGTCATGTATTAATCAAGATATTACATCCGTGTTGTTGATATATGAAAGTTAATCTCAGCGATGTTCTTTGAATATAAATATTGGCCAACAGTATATTTCTACATGATCAGCAATTCCATTTAAAAAAATATATTTGTTCATCTGAAAGTGTGATGGTTGAGTTTCTTCCTTTTGCGTTTTATTTGATCTTATAAAGTTTCGAAGTTTTCTTGTGAAAAGCACGAATCTTCTATCCAGTTAGGGTTTAGGGTTAAGACTCTGAATGTTAAGACGATTTTCCGGATTTCCTTTTTAAAAACGCTTCCTTATTCGTCAAACAGAGAAAGAATTCTATCCGTTTTTTCAAAGCTACAGGGAAACATTTTTTTCTTTTAAGACCAATACATCAGACATCATGAATTATAAAGAGTCGTATTTTCCACGTGACCACATTTAATGTCCAGTAATGCTTTTTTCTCGTCCAATGATTGTCTCCCATTGGTAGCCCAACGAATAAAAAGAAAGATGAATGAAAGTTTGACGATCTTTATCTCAGGAAACGAATATAATCAATCCGTATGAAGGTTGGTGATTGGATGAAGAATTTTTGGTATAAAATTTCCTTAAACGGATTCTGGTCAAATATATCGAAGGTTAAGAAAAATGAAATCAAAGAAGCGAAAGAAAAAAATTGAATTTCGGCAGTCTTTATGAAGTAATAATATTTGATTTCGTATTGGCCTTCTGAAACTGATTTTCCGAAAAGACTGTCATTTCTTCCTGGGTTTAGCAGGTGACTTCTGCTGTCAACTGACTGTTGTCAGAGGCGTTCGATTGTATATCTGTTCTTTTAAACTTCCTCGGAGACAAGATATATCCGATTCTTTATTTCTATTAGTGGCATTTTTAAATAGTTATATTTGTGTTTCATCTATATCATTTTCAGGCTTCTACCCTCCTCCGAGGCTTCGGGTTGAATTTTTGTGTCTTTTTTTCTCTCATCGTCACACAGATTTCAAATAACGTGAGTATTTTTTTAATTTTTTATTTTTTTCTTAATTCGAAAACTCAAGTTTAAATACCTTCATCTGAATATTAATTAGGTCCGGTCATTATTAATTGGCAATCTGTTTTTCAAATATTTTTCTTTTACATTTATCTCGGAGTAAAAAAAAAATGTAGCCACGTGATAACTGGGAAAAAAATATTCGAATGACAAATATATCTACTGATCATTATAAATCTACAATGAAATCGATTTCAAACATGAAAAGTTTAAAAAATGAAATTGCGTAACATTTTCGCTTCAATATACAAAGCAAATATCCGTTGAACATTTTTAAAGTAATCTGGAAATATGTGATTGTCAGAATGTGGTAAAGTTTAACCAACAATTTTTGTAGAGATTCTTGGTTTAATTTTAACTTTAACACTAGATAGTTTATGAGATCTTCTGTTTTTATTTCTTTGTCTGTTTTCTTTTATGGAGTCGTTTCTTTTGTATAGTCATTTCTTTTATATAGTCATTTTTATAATCGTTTCTTTTATATAGTCGTTTTTATAATCGTTTCTTTTATATAGTCGTTTATATTCTTAACGCTTTAACATTATACAAAACGCTCTTTTATATTACATCATACTTTTTAAAGGAAAAAAGT